ATTAAAACTATTGTATTAATTCCGCTTTGTTCTAAACAAGACACGCACACGCATACAGCATTTCTGCTTTTATCTGTACCAACTTTAACAATAATTTGCTTTACGTATGGGGCTTATGCATGCGTGTAAAATTGAAAAATAGTTGAAATACTCTTTGTCGAGATAGGAACGTACAATGATACGGGAGTATTTGCCAGAATTACACTGTAAAAACGTTTTGTGTGCAATTATAGTGGATAATATTGGGGCCATTTGTTAAAAGTGTGCATTTACATACGTCAGTAAATTTATATCTCACAGATAAAACCGTTATCTTACATAATAAGTAATTAGCTTGCTCTTAATTTTGCATTTTGTCGTGAAATATAAATAATTATTTATACAACAAGAGTAGAAAACTAATTTCTGTGAAAGTACGCGAATTTATATATTTCCGTTATTAATAATAAGTGTAATTGTTGCATTTATTATTTATGTAAGTTTACATACTTTACGGGGGAATTGAAATATACGAGTAGTTTGATAAGCGTAGGCGTAGCGTGTCTTGTACACTGTTATACATAGTCTTTTGAGATTTCTGTCAGCACATAAAGTGCAATGATTGATATCCGCAGGGAATGACGTATCCTCAAGGAAGCATGAAAAGTGCTGAAGGACACATTCGTGAAATTCAAGTCTCTCGGGGAGGGGACGAGAGCGTTTTGCTCTTGCGGGGATAGATTCAACCGGGCGTTCGATTTCATTTTCACATGAGGGTATATTTTAGTATTAAGTCTCGAAAGACCCGCTCGAGTCTGGCTCTCCATCTTCGTAATGGCGTTTTTATGTAGCCTTGGCACTGGGCTAGCTTGGCAAAGGAAATTTCGTATAAAAGAGTATGCGAGTTTCTAAACGATTGATATACTAGAGAGCGAACTTGTGCCTAATCGCACCATCTATTTGCATTTATTATACGGTGCTGAACGCTATAATAATAATAATTGTAATTTTAACAATTGAGCGGTAATTTTACTTCCTTTTTCATTTAAGATATCCTGCTGCACGCGAGATTTGTCTAAATTGTAAGAAACATCGTACGTTTTCGCTGTATAAAGAAAATATATAGCAGTAGAAATGGGAAACGAAGGATTTCGTACACTGTGCCTCCGCCATATTTCATATTTGCATAAATGATACGGAATTTCGCGATTACCGACACTTTTTTGAATCTTATAACAACTGTAAAATTTTATATTTGATTTCGTAGAACGATAACGTACTTACACGTATTACGTTTTTATTAAAAGCGATATGGTGTCTGTCATCGAGATCGACAGCACGCGAACGAACGAGGAAGTAACTATCCTCTGAGAAAGCTTTGCAAAAGATAGCCTTGACTTGGAAATTTGAGACTCCGTTCAACTGATTGTAAGATGAGACACTCGAAATTGAGGGAGCATTTCGGTGTCACGTTACTATGTCGTCCTTTCGACCTCAGTCGACGTACGACAAGCATGAAACATCGATCCGAATTCCACGCTTGTTCCTTCCTCGCGTACTATTTTGCACGCGACATATACATACAGCGTATAAATCATTTTGTACGGTCTTATAATCAGACGGAGGAAGATCGATGGCGAGTGGAAGACGAAACTATTGGAAATAAATCCGTGAGTCATCATCGATCATTAGATCGACGATAGTAATTCGTAAATTAACATGGTAATATTGATTTATTGCTGTTCAGCTGATTTGTTTGCTGGGAAAAAATGGGAGGGCCATTGTTCTCTTTTTATCGCCAACAGTAAAACTGAAATTAACGATTTATCTCCGTTTTGTTATTTAACGGCATTATTCATGCTATAACAAAATAAAAGTTGTAAACTCTGACTAAATTTTATGACAGTTATAAAAATCTGATTTCGCAATATCTTCATTGTTCCCTTCACACACATACAAATGAATAATTTATGATCGAATGCGATTTTACTGCGTCTGTTTTCATTGGAGATTTCTTTCAAATCGAGTGCTTGAGAAGCCTAGTATTATCATTTACAGATTTATGTTCTTTCGCAAAAAGAAAGAGGATAAATGAAGCAGGAAAAAGTAACTTCCGCTTTTACGGTTCAAGCATTTTGTTCTCTCGCTTCGCTTTATTTCCTCTCAATGCTCTTACAACTTGGAAAAAGAGATTTATGTAAGTAGACGTAAATAGCATTATTAATAGTGTATCGTGTACTACACCTCGTATATGATACGCGATGGGTTTCAGGCACTTTTGAACGTATATACGTAATACTAAAACACCGTTCGCACGTTTAGCCCGTATTCAGCACCATCAAGTTATCCGGATTCATCATGCACTATTGTATTTCGTTGTGTCTATCTTTTTAATCTTATCTTTCGAAGAGAGAAAGCAATTGTCAGAATTAACTTATTCGTCATATAATCACGTTCACAGCACGCTATCCTTATAAGTTCTTTAAGATCAGTTTCAATTCTTGTCAATGAGATGAACTTCGTCAATCGCGGTATTTTGGAAGCAGGAGTTAACGCGAGTTGCATCCGAGAATCCTAAGCATAATGTTTATCACAGATACCGTATAATTCTTAAACGATTACGAGGTTTATTGGTGACATGATTAATTATCGTTAAACATTACTTAAGTGTTTACCGATGGTGTTCACGATATAGCCAAGACATTCTGCTCTATCGTCAAACATCTGTCTTGCGGTTACTGCAGCAATCCACCTCTATCGTAACTGACTGACCTGAAGGCATCTTCGACAAGGTCGGTCAAGCATCTGACCGCTTGCAGAAGGGCCGCGAGGAGCAACGACAAAGAGAGTGAGATCAGTTTGCTGGGCACTAGAGCGTTCTCCGAGGCACCTTGACTTTTCGACGTTTTCTTCCTCTTCCGCTTGTCGGCATTCTTACCGGCGCCGTTGTCTCTGTCCTGCGTCTTAGCTGCCATCGCGCGCTTTGATTTCGTGGGTGACTTTTCCCTCGATCGCGACGTCGCATTGTCTGGGACTTCCTTGGCTGGTCTCGGCGCCATCCTCTTCTGTTTGTGCAGAAGAAATCGCCGCTGCGACGCGAAACTCTCGAGTTTCTTTCGAAAGTCCGCCGCCGTCGCCTCAACGGCCTGTAGAAGCTTCTCCTCGTGGGATCCTCTTCTATTGGGTCGGTTCTTCTGGTCAGTTTGCAGGGTGCCTTCCGACAAAGCCTTCGCGTTGATCGCTAAACGACGGGATCCCGTGGTCATGAGGAAGACGTCCTGCAACGAGAGCTTGTCGTTCTCTTGCTTATCACCGAGCTCCGAGTTCTGGAAGATCGAGTTCTCGTCCAACGAGCTCGCCCTGCTATGCCACTTGTCACGGAAGAGGGATTTCTTCTCGGCGCACGCGCTATTCAAATTGTAGTCGATCGTAATCACGGGCTCTTCCGGTTCCGACGAGCACAGTCGAATATTTTCTTTCACTTCGTCCAGGGCTATTTTTCTCGGCAGAGTCTTGCCAAGACTATTGAGCACAAAGTTCTTCTTTGAATATAGCTGAGAATTCGAGTCTTTCTCCTCCTCTTGTAGGACATTTGACTTGTCGGCGCAGCGATCGTCCGCCGATCTCCAAGGTTTGACCGTGTCCGAGCATTCCTCGTTAGAGCTGTTTATGAAAGGCGCACCTGTATTTCCATCCTCATCGTTATCCTTGATTGTTATGTTTTGGCCCACCCATACTTTCTCCTCCTCCACTTCCTCCTCCTCGTTCTCCTCCGCTTCCTCTTCGTCCGAATCGAAAGACATAGATTTCTTCCTGGGAATCACCGGAACAATACCGTCGGCGTAGAGGAGATCCTGTACCTCGTAAAGGCTGCGCTCGATACTCGGACTCTTGTAGAGTAGATTCCGCAGCTCGGGGATATCCAGGTCTTGAACGTGGAGGAGATTTTGTTCGATATTTAAAAGGCTTTCCTCAATTTGTACCAAGCATTGCTCGATATCGGAGGTCGTTCCCGAGTCTGGCTCGTCTTGCTTTTCTGACTGATTCGTGCTCGCCTCGTGCTCCTCATTGCCCTGCTTCTTCGCGGTATTGTCAGGTTCTTCCGACGTAACGTGAGGCTCATCGCGGCGATTTTCCGGCCGCAGCTCCAAGGACCAGGGAGGCAGCATAGCTTGATGTTGTGTCTGACTGTCGTAGAACACACGGTAATTGCTGTGGCTGTTGGCTATCTCGTAATTCATGTCTGCTTGTCCGTCCCAGGCCAGATTGTCGCTTTTCAAGCTCTCCTTGTCACCTCGGTCCCGTGGATTCACCGCAGAATTACCGTGCTCGCCGTGGCTGTTTGCTATTGCGTACGACGTCGCGTCAAGACTGCGAGCCATCTCGAGATTATTTCTCACGCTCCGATACAGTTCCGCGTACCTGCTGTGGCTGCTCGAGTCCTGATAGGCGTTTCCGTGACTATTCGCGAGTGGATACGTCGCGCCGGAATCGAAGTCGGACTGATACCGTTTTGAACTTTTCGTCGACCGACTGTTCACCGACCACTCGCGTCTGCTATGACTACCGTGGCTGTCCTCGTCTTGGTTTCCATCATTGTCGTTGTCGTCGTCATCGTCGTACTCGACAACTTCCTCGGGATACGGCAATTCCTCACCATCGATCTCGGGGACCGAAGGACCGAGGTTTCCGTCGTCGATTAAGATGTAACCGTCTAGCACATTTTCATCGAGATCGACCCACCTCCTGGCATTGTCGTCGACGGTTCGTCGGTGCCGCTTCTCGGCATAATGGTTTGCGGGACGTCGTCGTTCACGTACCGTGGGATCATGCACATGTATTTCCACTGGGCAGAGGACGTCGGGATGCCTCCCGGCATTGTGCAACGCCGGCGGTGTCGTGGCAACCAACGGCGCCGCTTCGTCCAACAGATTGTCTGTGGATTCGCGGTACCGATAGCCAGGACAAGGTGTATTGACCGGCGAATGCGAGAGAAGATTGACGTAACCGCCGGCGCCTCTGCCTATGAGCGATCAGGTACTGGTTGATGGATTCGCCTGATCGTGAGCCACGGCGGAGTCTTGGCTTTCGCTCAATATTTCGTTATTCGATCTCAAACGGTGTATATTGCATATCACCTGTTAGCAGACACGCGTAAAATAAGAATATTTATTGGCATGAAAATTTAATGTAATATAGAACAAGTAAATTGAATTTCATTTAACTGTTCGTGAATAGAAAATATTTAAAAAACACAACAAGTTCTTTAGAAACTTGCATACGGATAAAAGATTAACATCTCTATGATAACGAAATGATAATCGATAACAGCTGATACGTATCCACGAAACGCATGTTCAATTTATCAGTGTTTAGTGTAGAAAGTGAGGAACGTACGTATTCTACTTTTTAGAAAATGAAAAAGAAGATTTTGATCTTTAATTTAGTATGAGTTTCTTAAAACCTTCTATACCGCTGCTGTATAATAAATTATAATAATTATAATAAGCACAATATATGTATATAATATAAAGTATTTTACGTTCGATAAAATGCGACAGTATATTTGTGTACCGAAAGAATTGGGTTCTTATTACAGAACACAAAGAACTATCTGTTACATTAAAATGTATTATCCGTATATTATTAAGAATCACCTTTGGAGGACTTATTCTGACATCTTTAAACTCATCCGTGAATGTTAGGATGTAAGCGCAAAACGTTATTGCGCAAAGCCATTCGGTTACCGTGCTAGCCACATGCAATTCCCAGCCGCCGTCCTCCTTGTACCATTTCCGGGGATTCGTTCCTGTAGGATATGTTTTGCACATTAATACGCTATATAATGTGACGAAAGCGACAATTAAAAATCAACGAACCAACCCTTATAGGCCAAACGGGCCAGTACGCCCGTAATAAGGATTACGAAGAAGCAGACAGTACAGAAAGTTGATAACGCCGTGCGAAGATGCGCCAGTCGTAATGAGCATCCCGAGGGATGCAAGTAAAATGAGCATACAGCCTGCAATAAAAACCAATTCATAGATACGTGTCAGCTGTTATCGATTATCATTTTGTTATCGTAGAGATGTTAATCTTTTATCCGTATTTGTGCAAGTTCATAAAGTACTTGTTGTGTTTTTTAAATATTTTTTCATTTACGAACGGTTAAATTTTATTTATTTGTCCTACATTATGTTAAATTTTCATGCCAGTAAACATTTAATGAATGTACGCGTTGTTACTGATTTGAGCATAGAACTTGTTCATATGTACCTGGGTCCAAAAGTACACCGTACCACCTCCGAAGCAGAGTATCGCACCGATGAGATGAACTACTATTACTGATGTTTCTTGAAAGTTTGCGACGATTGATAGACCGGCGGTTGATATGAGGCCGAAAATTAAGGCCCAACGATTCAATTTCGGCAAAGAAGTTGATGAACCGAAAGTTCTGATACATTCTTTAACTTGGGAATATCTTATGTAGATCATTAAACCCACTGGAATATAAAGTGATGCAGTTACAATTAGTCTCAATGGTGCATAACATTTATACACTGTTTAACAATGATTACATCCTTATTGTAATTTTTGCAATTCCTAATTTTATTTATCGCTAAATTTTCAACTCGGTCCTCTAAAGATATAAATCAATTACAGTGCGAACGACTTTTACTTTCAACGGCCTGGCACAGTTGGAGGTGGCCGCTTGAATTATCATGTGAATTTATTTATCGCACTATCGCTTTTTACACTTTAAATGATAAACATAGTAAAATAAATATAAAGCTATACCGACGCAGTCAAATATAGTATTTGCGCTTGTAATTCTTTTTGGTGGCTTATATGCACAAAATAATACCATAAGGGACCGCATAGCACATTTTCATACTTAAAACACTTAGTTTAGAAGTCTAATAAAAAAGATATGCGAAATAATTCGTAGTTCGTGTTAAATTTGAAATTGGCTTTATAAAATTGCAAAATTCTTCCACACGATTAAAGTACGCATAAAGACAAAACCAGGGACAATCGAAAAAACTATATTTGACTGTGTCGGTAAAAACGATGGCTGAAGGGTTCTTAAAAATTTCCTTGTTCTTGGAACAACAATACAAAAAATATTATTCTATACATATAATAATGTAATCAGATAATATATTTAGCTTTCTCAATTTTAGGAAGGATCGTTAATGTGATATAAAATACAAGATTAGTTTAACATAAAGCTAATACCATGTCTAGAAAAATTATATAAATAAAATTCTTTTGGTTTCATGGCATTTTGGAAATCGCTTAATTTATGGTGCATCCTGTATGTGAGATATATGAGAGATAATTTCCCTTTGTAGATAACATTGGATTATATAAGTATATTCTACTTACTGAGAATAGCTATCAGGTTGACAGCTTGAGCGAAAATACAACTTTCTGGTGCGTAAGTCGCTACATCTGAAATGTAAGGAAAACCAGCTTCCACGTGTCCTAGTAAGACAGCGATTACGTATCTGTGGATTGTCAAATAAGTATTTTGAACGATTCGATGTAAAATGATGGAAGATAACATTAAGTGTGCACACGTTTGCTTTACCCACATATACAAGATATTAATAAATACAATATAGATACTAATCAATTAATATGTACATAAAGTTGCTTAATAATTCGTAAATTGTTTGGACTCACGTTAAAATAAAAACTGACGGCAAAGAGATAAAGACGGCGATCGGCAGATAATGTAGATTCGCAAAAAAATCCTGCTTATCCATGATTTCGATGTGTAATCGTTGTTACTGTTACTAGAGCCGATGATAATGATGATGACGTCAGCCGCCGACGTCTGCGATCGACGCTGCTATCGGGAAGAATCTTGCGTCGATGCAGCCGCCGACGAGTCACGACCATTCATGCTCTTTGATAGCTATTCATAGGCCTTTTAATCCTCTCTTCGTTAAGTATCAATCCTCGCAACGACTGAGCCAAGGGCAGTACCGCAATTCAAATGCCATCAACGTTCTCTGAATAGTTCTGTAAGAGAGATAATTATTGCTACCTTCACACGTACGTGAACAATGTTTATGTAGTACTGCAATTAACTTTATTAATGTAACAGGTCACGCTATCAACATCTCGCTTTCGTGTCACCACAATTATTCTCATCAACCATTGTAAAATGGTATCCTTTTACAATTTTTATAACACCGCATATTTTATACAGAATACGTAACATTGTATTTTCTATATCATTGTTATTGTAAAATTGTAACAATGAATTTTATATTTTCGTGATTATAAATAATTTCGTGCAACATTTGGCTAATTATGGCTTTTGATAATTGACAAATTAAAAATACAAACAATGTGCCTTGTTAAGAATGTAAGTGATTTTTTACAATGTGTTTTTAAAATATGTTTTAACAAGAAAGCAATTCATTCTTGAACACACGCCTCTTTGCGCATGCTTATTATGTATATAGATATCTTATATGTATACATCTTAGAGCAAAGTACATCATTGATATTTTTTATTGTTATTCTATTATTATTAATGATAAGGCGTAAAGAGAAAGAAAAAGATTTATAAACTATTATGCCACTTGCGATTAAACAGATTCAGAAAATAATAATTATATCTGGGCATTATTAAATTTTTGACGACACAAATATAAAAGTAAAATGTTATTGAAGAACTTTTATCAACGTACAACTTAATATAAAAATGGTAAAATTGTAGGAAAAGACGACTAAAAAATAATATCAGCAGAAAAGAGAATGATTTCAATGTTTTGATAAATAATATTGTTGTATCCATCGAATGCGCATGCAATCTATTAGTAAACCTCTATTAGCTGCTACATGTATTAAATACTTCATATTATTTACGATGACGTTATTTTATTGTTACATCTAAAAATTCTCTCTATTACTTTTCGAGGAATATAATAATAATAGTGCTGATAAATCTTAATCGGTGTCGCCTTGAAAATGAAGCTCGCAAACGCTCTTAGATTTGGTTGGTCATGCTCTTCCAGCGATAAAATTCTACTCCAAACCACGGGATATTATTACGTATCATATTATTAGGCGATAATACTATATTGTATGTCCTTAAGATAAAATTATTTGCATTGTATGTGTATCTTTTTATCTTCAAGATTAAAATCTATTTAATTAAAAACTTTTAATTAATTTTTATATTGTAGTACTATCATTATAGGACTATATAGTAGCATGAGTAAATTATTACTTATAAAAATAAATGTATGTTGATGATAAAAGTGTAATTGGTATCAAAACAGTAATCAATTCAAATAAATTATGAACAAAACTCAAAAGTTCTACATGAAACATAAATACATCAATCTCTTATCAAAAATGTTTAAATTTTATAGATAAATTATGCCTGCCCTTTGCTCTAGCCTTTTATTGCCATATGGTCTTATACGTATTTATGTATTTAATTAAATGCTCGTATTTTAATTTATATATTTACCTGATATTCGACATTCATTTTTATATAACTTGGGGTTTTGATTTTCATTTTTACTTTCATGTATTACGACAAAATCTTTCATTGTATTATCGCATCGTCTTAACAATATCTATATGTAATTGTACTGAAGAAGGCTTACGAAAGCCAAGACGTTTAGTTAATTACTCGAGCCAATTAGTAGAGAATAAAGAATTAAATTATATTCACAACATTTTAGTGTTCGTATACAGTTAGCCCTTCTCCTTTAATCGACATAAAAATGACACCTATGTGAATAATAATTATGTGAATAGTATTTAGCACATGTAACATTGAATTTATAATTTACGATCGCATTATAGCTAATGAAAACCTCAATAAATTTAGAAATACTGATAATTTGTTTTACTTACAGGCGCATCGCACACAGAGATTCACACCGGGTTTGTCTGACAATGAGATATCGAGGGAGTCTCTCTCGTTATTCATTTATATAAATACCACGCATTCGTAATACGTTACTTAATGAACGTGCAAACTGTCACACAGGCGGTATCTGCATGACAAAGTAAAAACATGCGATTTAATAAAGGCCACGAGGCGGAAGCGGTTATGATAAGCGAAAATTTTCCCTATTGCACGAATCATCTTTCTATTTTTTTTGCCGTTTATTATAAAATAAAATGAAGGACGGCAGGAAATGTATGATATTTCGATGAAGTTCAGAATATAGTGTAAAGTAACAAAAATAATACGTTTTTGTTTATTTCCACGTTGTGCAAAGTCGTAGAACGTTTGTCTCGAGAAATTGCCAATCGATTCTTTGCCATTTGAACAATCGCACCGTACCGAAATTGCAACGAGACGCACTTGACAGCACATCGGGCGGCGTTATACAAAACTCACCCTGAAAGCGGTGGTCCCTCCTCTGAGGTTTCCTTCATGGGGTTGCTCGGGTTATCAGTCGGAACTCATCGTGGTCTTCATTTTTTTTGGGGAACACACCGGAAATTACGGTGAACGATGTCGCGTACGATCGGAAGTTTAGGCGCGAGGTATTGAACGGCGAACTGACCTCGCTTGAATTCTGTCGGACGACGAAACTCCGCAGGGTCGCAACGAGTTTCGTTGGAAAATGCAAAGGTTATAGTCCGTGGAGGTGCGCGATCGATGTTGCGTCAGTGAAAACGACGTTCTCGGCAGCTGCGCCGCGGCGACCCGCCGTCCTTGCTACCGTCGCGTCGGCGTCGTTACTGTCCGACCAGCACGCTCGCCAAAGACTATTTATCCTACTACTCTGTGAACGCTCGGCTGCTTCCCGTCGCTATGACGTGTCTTAAGATTAACGTTGTACGAAAAACAATGTTGGAAAATTGCCAAACGACTGCTAAGTTTGGTTTCAAGCTGGGTAACGGGTACAATCGGACATTTGAAGTACCGGATAAAAATTTAATGAAGTCTTCCACGTGAATTTATTGAAGAAATCATATTAAGTGTAAGTGTTAATATTACAATCCGACTTTTCGAAATAGTCCAATTAAACTGGATATGTGTATATTCTTTTCATTTGCCATATTATGTAAAATATTACAGTTTATGTTGATAATTATTTCTGTAAGCTGTACATACGGATTTGAATCTGACTCTATAATTGGTTCATTGAATTTATCATTTTAAGATTAGACTCGATCCACAATATTTGTAATATTACACACAAATAGTTTTAAGATACAAGTCACAAAATTTTTTAATAAAATAATTTCAATATCATTATTTGAGAAATAAATAAAACTAAAAAGACAGTTATTCTTTTATTGGAATAATGGAAATTAAAAAATATAACGTAATGCCAGAGTTTCCTTCCCTTTTTTAGATTTTCCGTTTTTAAATTAATATCGCTGTATTATATATTATATGTATATTAAAAACAGAACATTAGCTTGCTTTATTTTCAGTAACTTCAAATTTACAATTAAATTTTACTAAACTGCAGACAATGGATTATTTGTAAAATAAGAAATTTTATTTTGAAAAACTCAGGAAAGAAATCAAATCAACGATACTAATTGTAAGATAAAACCTATAAAAAATGAGAAATAATTGGAACAAGTAATATTATTACATGTCAATACTTGCTACCGGTAATTTACTCTCACTCGATACATACGATTCCCTTCTTACGGAATGTTGTACACGGTAAAAAGTGGAGTATG